AGAAACAAACACAGGGAGGCAGGTAAAATGAGGAGACAAAGAAACATGTTCCACATGAAAGAACAGAACAAAGCTCCAGAAAAAGAACTAAATTAAATGGAGACAGAGTTCAAAATGCTGGTTATAAGGATGCTCAATGAACTTAGGGGAAGAGTAGATGAACTCAGGGAGAAATTTAACAAAGAGATAGAAAACATAAAAAAGAACCAATCAGAAATGAAGAATACAAGAACTGAAATGAAGAATACATTAGAGGGAATTAACAGATTAGGTGAAGAAGAGGATTGAATCAGTAGGTTAGAAGACAAGGTAGCAGAAAATACCCAATCAGAACAGCAAAAAGAAAAAAAAAATACAAAAAATGAGGAACGTTTAAAGGGCCTCTGGGACAGCACCAACATTCTCACCATAGGGATATCAGAAAGAGAAGAGAGAGCTCAAAGAATTGAAAACCCATTTCAAGAAATAATGATGGAAAACTTCCCTAACCTCTGGAAGGAAATAGACATACAAGCCCAGGATGCAGAGAGTTCCAAACAAAATGAACCCAAAGAGGCCCACACCAAAAAATATCATAATTAAAATGCCAAAAGTTAAAGACAAAGAGATAATCTTAAAAGCAGCAAGAGAAAAGCAGTTAGTTACTTACAAGGGATCCCCCATAAGACTGTCAGCTGAATTTTCAACAGAAACTTTGCAGGCCAGAAAGAATTGGCATGAAATATTCAAAGTGATCAAAATCAAGGACCTACAACCAAGATTATTCTACCCAGCAAAGCTATCATTTAAAATTGAAGGATAGATTAAGAGCTTACCAGACAAGAAAAAACTAAAGGAGTACATCGTCACCAAGTCAGTATTACAGAAAATGTTAGAGGGACATTTTTTAGAAGAAGAAAAAAACATCAAATATATGAATAATAAAATGGCAATAACTACAAATCTATCAATGATTGCTTTGAATGTGAATGAACTGAATGCTCCAATCAAAAGATAGGGTGGCTGAATGGATAAGAAAACAAGCCCCTTATATATGCTGCCTACGAGAGGCTCACTTCAGATCAAAAGACGGGAACAGACTGGGGCTGAGGGGATGGAAAAAATATTTCATGAAAATGGAAACAAACAAACAAACAAGCAAGGCTGGGCTGGCAATACTTATACCAGACAAAATAGACTTTAAAACAAAGACTATAACAAGAGACAAAGAAGGACCCAATAATTCCACTTTTGAGTATTTACCCCCCAAAACCCAAAACACTACTTTGAAAGGACATGTGAATCTATATGTTTACTGCAGCATTATTTACAATAGCCAAGATATGGAGGCAACCTGGGTAT